ACAATGAAGAATACCTAAGGCAGTCGGAAGCAGATTCAGAACCCTCCTCTGAAAGATATTCCAAATGCTGTTTAAGAATTTGTAAAACTGAAACATGAATGCAATCAAACAACACACTGGGCAAGTTGCTTGTCAGCGCGTCCACAAAATCCTCCAGCTTGAAGGGACTTAAGAACAGTAAAGTACTAAATGATCTTAAACATGTATAAATTGAGAAGATATCGAGTGTGTGAATTCCTCCCAGATCTATGTTTTGTGAAGAAGGTGGTAGTTGCACTTTTGGTGGAAGAACTACAAGCTCTTCTTCCAGTTCATGATACAATTTCTTCGGTTTCTTGTCAGTTAATGCACTAACTTCAGGGGAAGCTGATTCAAGGATTTCTTTCGATGCTACAGTGGTTAAAGAACAATTTTTAGCTGATCCCTTTCGTGCACTCCTTCTTAAGACCACTGTTTCTTGGACAGGATCATCTGAATGTTTCCTTCTTTTACTACGGCTTGTACTCAAAACTTTATATGCACTACTTATATTGGACTGGTTCTCATCAATAATCACCCCTTCATCCTCCTTACCATTACTAGTAGTGGAGACTGTTGCTAAATTAGGATTTGGATTGCTTGCAACCTTTCTCCTTCTCCCCCTTCTTCTCGGTCCTTCTTTCTGCACAGTTCCCATACAAACTTGGTTCCCTTCACTTACAACATTGGAGTCCACTTTAATAGCTGGAGCATCCCTTGCCAACAAAGAATCGTCTTTTATGAAAGCGTCACCAGAAACAGTGCCTGTTTTCCAGACACTTGAAGCTGACACAGCACACAAATTATTAGAGCTGTGATGATTTTCCACTACCACAAAGTTGGGAAGAGCAACTACAACCTCGTTTGCCCCAACCATTCTGCTAGTCACCAAAGTGCATAGAGGTTCTTCTTTCACTATATCAAAAGAGGAATCTCCCTTGGATTGGCCCACACAGTATCCATCTTGATCATCCTTGATTTCCTCATCGAAACCCATATTCAAATCAAACGGACACTCCCTTCTCAGGGTTTCTACCACGTCACCTCCGCCAAAACTCGTTTCCTTGGAGTTCTCATCCATCTCCCCATTGGCATCTACATTTAAGTCAATACAACCTCTATCCTTCAAGCTCCCCTCTAAATATGGGTTCGCATGGTCATCTTCATTCAAGTCGAAAGCTTCCTCATTTAAATTCAAGCTGAACGCAGCATTCAGATCAAGCTCCTGTTTAACATCAGAACTCGCATGCAACCTCCCATTTTCACACCCCCCAATGTCCCGGGAATTCTCCTCGTCATCACACTCCTTCCCTAGGGTTTCATTCAAATCAACTTCAACTCTACCCGAATTACCATTTCCCAGCTCAATCCCTCCCAGAACCGCACCATTCACGTCATCCCGCAAATCAACATTGCAATTCATATCTAATAAATTACCGTTACCTCCAATAGAGACCAAGGTTCCGCCGGCGCTCTCCCCGCCATTAGAGACGGCACAGTCTCCCGGTTCCCGATCAACAACTCGGCGGCGCTTCTTCGGCTTGCGCCCAACACGAGACCGTTGGTCAACCACCAACTGACCAGGTCCCACCAGCGCCGCCACCTCCGGAAAATCGAGCTCCTCGGAATCGCCGTCCTCGTAGACGATCTCGAATGAACCGGAGGAGGAGTCGTAGGATTTCACGATTCCGGTGAACACACCGAAACCATTGGAGGAGCCCTTCCTCACATGCTTCCCAACGAACTCCATTTGCAAACTACTCCTTCCCGCTCCAATCGAAGAAAAAAGCCCCGAAACAAAAGAGAGAATACGGGAGGAAATCAATCTAACCGGGAGAAATCGAGGAACCAGCGGCCGTTCATCAAATCCGGATCGGCGGCGAGTCTCCTCCGTCTGGAAATTCGGGGTACGAGAAAGAGAGAGAAATATCAAATATCCCAAAACCAACTGAAACAACCTCTCTCACGAGTTCTCTCTCTAGAAACGCTTTTAACGTGCAGAGAGGGAGAGAGAAAGGGATAGAAAGAAAGGAAGGAAGAAGGAAGAAGGAGAAGAAGAAAGAGACTGACTACTAACTGAGACGCTTCCTACTTTCCAATTTCTTGTTTTTTTTTTTCCTTTTTCTTTCCTCCGGTCACTCGCTGTATGAAAATAATAATAATTCACAAAAATCTGAAAATGGAAAGAAAGTGCGGGAGGAGTGGGGGTAATTTATTTCGTTCCCGATAAATTAGTTTGGACTATAATTTACCACAATCCACAACCGTAATTAATTTTTAAATTGGTCCTTCGGAAATGAAACTGCCGACCGTGATTAATTTTTTAATTGGTCCTTCGAAAATGAAGCTGCCGAAAATTTTATTTATTTATTTTTCACAGATATGGTCGACCATGAAGGAATTGACAGAGAGATAATTACAATGATTGGTCAACCACGGCAAGGATGGGTGTGTATTAACACCGATGGATCAGTAATTCATTCCCAAGGGAGTACGACCTGTGGCGGCATCGTGCGGGGAGACGATGGACGCTTCATTAGAGCTTTCTCGGCGAACCTTGGCGGGGGTTCAATCACGAGGGCAGAGCTGGCTGGAATTGTGCACGGGTTGAAGCTTGCCTGGGAAGAAGGGGCTAGGAAGGTTGTCTTACAGACAGACTCCACGACTGCGCTGGCCTTGATAGAGTCGACCACTCCTACCCACCCACACTACAGGAGTGTCGCGGAAATAAGACAATGGATCAATAGAGACTGGCAAGTGAGACTAGAGCATGTTTTTCGAGAAGCAAACTATGTAGCTGACTATCTAGCTTCTTTTGGACATTCCCTGCCTGTAGGGATGCATGTTTTTCACGCTCCGAGCAGTACGCTTTTGTACTGGTTGTACTTTGATCGGGTTGGGGTTCAAACACCCCGTATGGTTAATGCATAAAGGTTGGGGCGCCCTTTAAGCGCTCCGTTTTCGACCAAAAAAAAAAAGAGAGATAATTACAATGATTGAGTCAGCAATATAATAAAGCTTATATTTGGTCCGATTTTTAGTTGTGGTTTTCTGATTCGAAAAACAGCAGATCGAGTGATGTCTATGTAAGATTGATTTTTGAAAAAGTTAAAAGTATAAGCTTCGATTTAGACCACTGGCGAAACTTTATTTTGAAAAAATAAAAGAATATTCTTATCATTTAAATAAAAATTAAGTAAATATATTTTTATTCATTTATATCATCTTAAAACTAAAATAATTTATTTAATATAACATAATTCTAACAATATTCATTTTGTGTAGCTTTATTAATATTTTATATTAAAAAAATTAGTCATTTTACATGACATCTAATATTTATTCAGACAGACACTCAGCTGATTTTCTCTTTCTAAAATCTCGAGTCGTAAGTTATTTTCTCGAAACGTACAACACGATCAAACTAGTCCAAAGTAAAGAATAAGCAAGGTATTGCGTGCCACTAAATCAACAGTATAGTCGTAAAGCCCAAAACCCCGATCCAAACACATGGATAATCCCATTCTTAACAAACCCTACAACCGCCGATCAAAACACTCAAGACATGGTTGTTGATTGCATCCCCTACCACCAAAAGCACTCCGAAAACAACATTCCTGCCTTCACGTGGTCACACGCCGGGAACCACAACGGAGGTGATGAAAGTTGCAAACATAAAAGGCTCCACTAGACAGTTGACGAGCCGACATAAAGAGGAAAATAAAAACCTCGATTGGGAGGAACCAATCCCAGAGATAGATCCACCTGCAAAACAAGTAAACAATGGGGCAATCCAAGGCTCAGAAGAAAGTCGACCAAGTCATTGCCACTCTGAGCCCTCGGCTAGATCCTTCCTCAAGAGTGCCATCCTTGCTCACAAGCCCCGTTAATCTTCATACAGGACAGCCAAGGTCCATGCATCTTCAAATCATCTCCATTTACGGATGAATCATGTGGAGATAGATGGAAGACCAGAGAGGAGCAAGCGAGTGATGACATTGATCCCCTCAAACACCTACCAAAGACACATCCACGCGAATATGGGATATGGTGAGGCACAAAAGCATCTCCTCACGGAGATAGAAAAAACATCACCATTAGGGTGGAAGAGGATCCGAAAAGGAGGAAACCAAACAAGAAAATCAAAGCCAAATGCATGAAAAGGAGCAGAAAATCAAAATACAAAAGGCAGATGGAAGGAGAGAGCAACAAAGGACATGCAAAGGCATAGAAAAATGAGGGCCACCGCCTGTTCCAGAAGAAGTCGACGACGGCCCCATGAAATTCGAAAATTGTGTCTTAGCGAGAAGGCATAAAAATGAGAGAGAGAGAGAATATTCAACGAAAAAAAAATGAGAGAGAAGACAGCCCCCAATAGAATTGATTGCTTGATCATGAATTGTCTATGTGTGCATACACAATGAACTCAAGAATTATACTAATTTAGTGTTGGGCTTTAAAATGAGATCGGTCATTTAAGGGCTTTAATCGAGGAAGTATATGATGACTAATTAACATGATTATATGTGTTAGATGAGACAGTGTGGGTGCAGTCAAAATGATGTGTAGGCACTTCTTCATGCATGGTATTATAATAAGTGGTTGATTAAGTTAAAGTAAAGATGATTAATACAGATTCACGTGTTATTTTTGGATAACCTACTCAGATGAAACAATATCGATTGATTCAAAATATTGCGTGACCGCTTCTTCAATCATACGCGACGATATGTGCGTAAGAGAATAAAAAATGCTCTGTATAGACACCAGTGAGCGACTCGAATTTTGTGCTATTATGTGATACCATACAATCAATGATGTATCCATTGATAGATAGATCCCGGCAAAAACATTAACCCATTGAAGAGCATAACACAAACTTTGTGTTGAGTGCAAGCTCGCCTAGGCGCCTACCACCGAATCCTTTCTCCTCCGGCGCCGACCGGCGTTGGACTCCTTCAACCCAGCAGTCTCTCTACGCCATGGCGATCGAGAACTTCATCTCAGATCTGTACCGGCCGCTAAGGGAATACCGTCACCGTTCCGCAAAGCGACGACGAGTCAGTCCGCAACTAGCGAGCCTTCCCCCCACGACGATCAGCAAGCTCGGAGAGGACCTCCTTGTAGAAATTCTGATTCGGCTCCCCAACCCTAGATTCGCCTGCCGGTGCAAACTCGTCTGCAAGCGGTGGACCTCCCTGATCTCCAGCCCTCGCTTCAACCGCCGCTTCGTTTCTCACCGCCAGACCATGAACCTGACCCACCCACCTATGCCGGACAATCCGTACGAGCTTCAATCGACCATCCTCAGCTTTCTCCCTCCAATGCCTAGCGGCGTTCGAGACATTCTCAGAGTTACGGATTGCAACCAAGACCTGGTTCTGTGCGGGTTTTGGGATCCAAATTCCGACAATGGGGAACTTTCCAGGTCGTACTTGGTCTGCAATCCGTTTACCAAGCAGTGGATGGCTCTTCCTTTAGCGCCCAGGAAGTCTGCGGCTTATGACTCGCAGGCTGCAAGGTTAGTTTGTGAACCCCGTATTTCTGTCGAGCTTGATCTAGGAGATGACCAAGCATTTGTTTATTCCGAGCATCGCTTTCGGGTGGTGTGTACATATCAAACCACTCCACCAAATGTGGCCATTAAGCTAGACGTGTTTTGTTCCGAGTCTGGAGAATGGACAAAGGAGGCTTTTGAATGGGATCGTTGTAGTGGAATGGCAACGAAAGGTGTAATTTCTTGCAATGGGGAGTTGTTTTTGTGCTACAATCGAAATGGTCCCGACGGCATGCACACTCTGCTGGATGGATTTAATCCTTTTCGCCTTGATGTGCCTCCCACTCCAATAGATATTTCTGCCTTCCTTGTGTATCCTCGGCGGTGGTTTATTTCCAGCTCACAAGGCGCGCTGCACGTAGTTGCAAAGGAACATGAAGCCATGCCTGTTCGTTTGAGCGTCTGGAGGCTGGCAGAAGACCGTAAATCTTGGAGGAAACAATGCGAGGGGTTGGTGAACAAGACATCAATGTGTTGTAACTATGAAGCTAGGGGCTGTTATTCACCGTTTCTGCATCCACACAAGCCGGAACTGGTTTTCTTCATTCCTGTTTATGCTTGTGCCGAGAATGCTTTATTGTGCTGTGATTTGGGGAGGGAAGAGGTACAGTTTTTCACTAAACTAGAATCGGAGCATGATGACATTCGTCTTCAGGTGTTCCAGCCTAGGGTATCTTGCTGGGCTACTCCAATTCCAAGGCACAAGGGGTTGCAAGGAAGTTATGATGAAAATAGCTTATGGGTTGAGAGCAGCGGGGAGGCCAGAACTCCCTTGCTCTACTCCCTCAATAATTGGTAATTACTTTCCCTGGCAACAATTTACTTCTTCTCTGCCTTTGCATGCCTGTTAAGTTAGGAAATCACTAATTGAGAAAAAAGAACGCCAGCAAGAAAGTTTTCCTGCAATCTCTGGTCCATAACTGGTTAAGGAGTGCAGTTTTGGGTTTGCCTAACTAGCTAACTACTTCCTCTCACGAAACACGTATTAAGCCGCACATACTTGTATCTCTTGTCATTTGCTTGAGTATTTTGTTTTGGTTGCGAACTCTTTGCCTGATCTTTTAGACTATACATCAGGGGGAAGTTGTTAATGATAAAGATGCACATGGACATGTGTGTGTTTCCTTCATTTTCTCTCTATTTACTGGTTTGTGTTCCTATATTTCATCTCATTTCTGCTGTGGCTGGTATATTGCTCCAACAGCTAGGTTCATTCGCTGCACTATGGTTTTGCTATTAGTCATTGATGCAGTGTTGCTGCAACTGACCCTAGCCGATCTGTCCGGCCGGTAAAATGGCAACCGGACGCCAACCTGGTCTGGATGAGCATTTTGGCAGCCTCCTGTTATCCGGCTGGTGAGAAACCGTTCGATCCGGACAAACTTGGCAGCCTGTTCAAAGCTCAGAACCAGCCGCGAATTGGACAACAAACCAAGAAATCATTATTATGATGATGGTTTAGTGTGTTCTACTTATAAATAATAACCTATTTTTTGTTTACGGGTCATCAGTTTGTGAACAATATTTAGCGATTTAACATCATATAAAACATCGGTTCATACTTTCTTTTGGTTCTGGCAACATTGGCTTAATGTTATCTACATGTTTCCTCTTTTCAGCATTGATCAGGTATTGAAATCGTCAGTGTACAAGGATTATATAGAACGTGCATTGGCGGAGGCAACTCTGAACCTAGTGGCTGAAATCGTTCTGGGAAAGAGGAGCAGAATCGGCGAGTTTGCTTCTCGACGATGGTGGCTGCCTCGTTCTCCAGATTTTGACCATGAATTGGATATGCTGGAAGCTGGTTTAAAATCTCTTGGAGCTGGTATGGCCATTATCCGCAAGCAGAGAGCGGAACTGAAACAGGCACTTCTGCGTGAAACGTCAGAGCTTCCCCATCCTCCTTCAGGTTTTGTCCGTATAAAATTTCGAGATGAGTTGTCTTTCCTGTATCCTGAACAATACGCTAAAATACTGTTTTAGTTTCAGGCCAAACCAGAGTGTTATTTACGTGGAATAATGGATTATGATTCTATTATCATTATCTATAATTTTGCAGGCCCTATCGAAAGTGTCTTCTGGAGGGCGCTACCTTACAGGGGACTAAAGCATATGTTAAGGGGGTGGTTGCGCAGTTGGTTGGCAGCTACTTCTAGTAGCTAAAGAGCGAACCCAAAGTCGCGATTAACCCAATCCTCCGTATTATTAGGGGTCGTTTGGAAGTTGCGATCGTTGAGAATGCATGTATAATATTTTAGTGTATTATCCAAATATAAGTTTATAGTATAACCAATTTTTGGGTTTATGAGAGATTAAGTTGAGCGTATTAGTTAATTTGTCAATTAACCATACATACTTTATGAATAATGTTTAGTCATTAGCCTATGCAACTCTTGTTTCTAAGTCAAGACTCAAGACATTAAACCCATAATAAGATATAGGGTAGGGTTAATACCTTATTTTGGCCCGAACTATGACCATATAATCAATTTTGGCACGTGGTTTCAGAAATTAACATTTTGACCTCAACTATGCAGCATATAAACTAAATTAGCCCGACACATGCTTTGACCGTCAATTTGGACGGTCAACACCATTGGCCGTTAGTCAACACGCCATGTCATTGCCTAGTCAGCCTAAAAATCATTAAAATTTTGAAATTCAAATTATTTTTCTAATTATTATTATTTATCATTTTGATCGAGTTGATCAATACCAGAAACGAGAAAGCTAACAAATATTCCAGCTCATCAATATTTAAACGTCACGAGAATTCAAAATTACTCCTGAATTTACCGAAGAACTGAAGTGTAAAGTGTTCTTTAAAGTTGCAACCATCTGGGCTGCGGAACAAGATATTTGGTTTGTAGAATTTGGGTTAAATTACAAACATTTGGGCTGTGAAGCCCAATCCAGGATTGTAAAGGAAAGCAACAGTCTAGTCTAGGCGTCTATATATAGCTAGTCCCGACAAGGGTTTGGCCTTTCATCCTAAAGACAACTTCCTTAGCCTCGCAGCAGTCACCATATGAAAAACTGATTCCATATCTCCTTAGCTTTCTGGGTTTCTCCGAGCTAATCCCAAGCTCGCCTAGGCGCCTACCACCGAATCCTTTCTCCTCCGGCGCCGACCGGCGTTATACTCCTTCAACCCAGCAGTCTCTTTACGCCATGGCGATCGAGAACTTTATCTCAGATCTGTACCGGCCGCTAAGGGAATACCGTCACCGTTCCGCAAAGCGACGACGAGTCAGCCCACAACTAGCGAACCTTCCCCCCACGACGATCAGCAAGCTCGGAGAGGATCTACTTGTAGAAATTCTGATTCGGCTCCCCGACCCTAGATTCGCCTGCCGGTGCAAACTCGTCTGCAAGCGGTGGACCTCCCTGATCTCCAGCCCTCGCTTCAACCGCCGCTTCGTTTCTCACCGCCAGACCATGAACCTGACCCATCCACCTATGCCGGAGGATCCTTACGAGCTTCAATCGACCATCCTCAGCTTTCTCCCTCCAATGCCTAGCGACGTTCGAGACATTCTCAGAGTTATGGATTGCAACCAAGACCTGGTTCTGTGCGGGTTTTGGGATCCAAATTCCGACAATGGGGAACTTTCCAGGTCGTACTTGGTCTGCAATCCGTTTACCAAGCAGTGGATGGCTCTTCCTTTAGCGCCCAGGAAGTCTATGACTTATAACTGGCCGGTTGCAAGGTTAGTTTGTGAACCCCGTATTTCTGTCGAGCTTGATCTAGGAGATGACCAAGCATTTGTTTATTCGGAGCATCGCTTTCGGGTGGTGTGTACATATCAAACCACTCCACCAAATGAGGCCATTAAGCTAGACGTGTTTTGTTCCGAGTCTGGAGAATGGACAAAGGAGGCTTTTGAATGGGATCGTTGTAGAAGAATGGGATCGAAAGGTGTAATTTCTTGCAGTGGGGAGTTGTTTTTGACCTACAGTCAAATTGGTCCCAACGGCTTGCATACTATGGTGAATGGATTTAATCCTTTTCGCCTTGATGTGCCTCCCACTCCGATTGATATTTCTGCATTCCTTGTGTATCCTCTGTGGTTTATTTCCAGCTCACAAGGCGCTCTGCACGTACTTGCAATGGAACATGAAACCATGCCTGTTCGTTTGAGCGTCTGGAGGCTGGCAGAAGACCGTAAATCTTGGATGAAACAATGCGAGGGGTTGGTGAACAAGACATCAATGTGTTGTAACTATGAAGCTAAGGGCTGTTATTCATCGTTTCTGCATCCACATAAGCCGGAACTTGTTTTCTTCTCTCCGGTTCTTTCTATTGACGAGAATGCTATATTGTGCTGTGATTTGGGGAGGGAAGAGGTACGGTTCTTCACTAAACTAGAATGGCAGCATGATGTCCATCGTCTTCATGTGTTCCAGCCTAGGTTATCTTGCTGGGCTACTCCAATTCCAAGGCTCAAGGGGTTGCAAGGAAGTTATGATGAAAATGCTAGCTTGTGGGTTGAGAGCAGCGGTGAGGCCAGAACACCCTTGCTCCACTCCCTCAATCATTGGTATAATTGCTTTCCCTTTCGACAATTTACTTCTTTTCTGCCTTTTGCATGTCTGTTAAGTTAGGAAATCGCTAAATGAGAAAAAAGAAGGCCAGAAAGAAATTTGTACTGAAATCTCTGGTCCATAACTGGTTAAGGAGTGCAGTTTTGGGTTTGCCTAACTAGCTAACTACTTCCTCTCACGAAACACGTATTAAGCCGCAGATAATTATATCTCCTGTCATTTGCTTGAGTATTTTGTTTTGGGTGCAAACTCTTTGCCTGCTCTTTTAGACCAAACATAAGGGGGAAGTTGTTAATGATAAAGATGCACATGGACATGTATGTGTCTCCTTCATTTTCTCTCTATTTACTGGTTCGTGTTCCTATATTTCTTCTCATTTCTGTTGTGGCTGGTATTATTCGCTGCACTATGGTTTTGCTATTAGTCACTGATGCCGTGTTGCTAAAACTGACCCTAGCCGGTCCGGCCGGTAAAATGGCAACCGGAGGCCATCCTGGTCTGGATGAGCATTTTGGCAGCCTCCTGTTATTCGGCTGGTCAGAAACTGTTCGATCCGGACAAACTTGGCAGCCGGTTCAAACCAACTGAATTGGAAAACAAACCAAGAAATCATTATTACGATTACGATGATGGTTTAGTGTGTTCTACTTATAATAACATATATTTTTTTTACGAGTCATCAGTTGCTGAACAATATGTAGCGATTTAATACTCTGTTTTGGTTTTTTCAACATTGACATGATGTTATCTATATGTTTTCCTCTTTTCAGCATGGATCATGTTATGAAATCGTCCGTGTACAAGGATTATATAGAACGTGCAGTGGCGGAGGCAACTTTGAACCTAGTGGCTGAAATCATTCTGGGAAAGAGGAGCAGAATCGGCGAGTTTGTTTCTCGACGATGGTGGCTGCCTCGTTCTCCAGATTTCGGCCATGAATTGGATATGCTGGAAGCTGGTTTGAAATGTCTTCGAGCTGATGTGGCCACCATCGGCAAGCAGAGAGCAGAACTGAAACAGGCACTTCTGCGTGAAACGTCAGAGCTTCCCCGTCCTCCTTCAGGTTTATCCGTTTGAGGTTTGGAGATGAGATTTTTTATGTAATATAAAGTTATAATCTTAATGGATTAATAATGGATTATGATTCTATTATCATCCTTAAATTTCAGGCCCTGTCGAAAGTGTCTTCTGGAGGGCGCTACCTTACAGGGGACTAAATCATATGTTAAATGAGTGGTGGCGCAGTTGGTTGGCAGCTACTTCTAGTAGCTAAAGAGCAGGAGCTATCCAGAGGTCGCCATTATCACAATCCTCCATATTTTTAATTAACTAGCTTCGTGAATTCCCTTAAAAAAAAAAAAGCTTTGTGAACGGCCATTAGCCATATTGAAAGAAGAAATCCCACCGCAGGACCTGGTACTGCACACGCAGACTGCTTTTACTGCTCATGCTGACCGAGATGTACTGTTATAACCCGGAAGCTGGCGCTGTGTGGGCTGGCAATGGTGGGGGCTCATTGGAATCGGACGGGTGTTTGGCGGGTCGGTTGGAATGGAACTTGATCGTTGGGCTGTTTTGGTCTGTTGGATCCGTTGTGGTCCACGAACGCTTTGGTCACCAGAGCCCTCTCGGTCGCTGGAGCATGCACAGTTGCTTGATTGAGAGGACCTTTGCAAGCAATCGATTTTGTGGGTGGAAGACTCAGAGATGGTGGGCCATGAGGGACTGAAAGGGTTTATTGAAAGGAGATGTGCTGCTCAGTGGCTCTGCAAGTGGATTAGGGAAAGGTCAGGGTCTTTGATTGAGAGGTGGGAGTCGTGCCGGTTTCAGAGGCTGAGGGATTAAGTGAATAATTTGGTGGATGGATTGGATTGGATTCATGGATTTGGATCCTAATTGCCACCTCTAATTTGGCTTCACAGTAGATCCCATGCACTATTAAAGCAGAAAAATTCCCGTACAAAATGCGTATGGTTTCCCTCCCAATTTATATCACTGAGAATTGCCTCTTGGAAATACCCCATGTCTTCGTCGTACGAATGTAACCCCGGGGTGTCACTACGCTCCAACGCAAACGAGAATCCTCTTGGAACCCGGATTCGCACATCGGTGATTTATATCAGCTTCCACCGTGCTGACCCTCCGTTCCTTGAACCCATTGGCCCGTGAAATTAGCCCTCGAACTTGGCAAGAACACGATAATTTACTATTAAAAAAAATTACTTTTATGAAATATTACTATTCCTAGATTGATGAGGTTATTTCGGGTTTGGGTTTTTGAGATCGGTAGTTTAAGTGTTTAGTTTAATTATGGGTCTAGTATGCTAGTGGGTTAGCATGGGGTTTACGTGAGCCATTAGTACATCTGTACATGGGCTATTAGCTTAGTAGTTTGGTTTGGATTCTACTCTAGGTTGCCGAGTAGTGTAGGGTTAGTAGCTAGTCTCGGCTGAAGCTAGGGTTTACGTATTATGTTTATTTCTTATATAAATATGTAAGTTCGGCAGTAGTTCTGTATCCAATTAATAAAGAAAAGGTTTTTTCGACACCAACATCGTCTCGTCATAAACAATAACTAAAACCAACTCACAATTAATTAATGACAATTACAAATAATAATGAATTCCTCCTCCCAAGCCCATATACGAAAATAATCTACTTGCCAATTCTCTTCTTGATCTCATCGAGAATCGGTGACGGGTAGGGGTGGCTATACGGTCCGGTCCGGTTAAATTGGTCCGAATTGATCCGGTCCCAGTCCGGTCTTTTCGGGAACATAAGGACCAAAGATTGGATTGGATACAGTCCGGTCTTGACCCGCTCCGATCCCAATTTGGTCTTGA